CCTTAGCAAAGCGCATCCCAGGCTGCATAGCCGCACTACCCTACCCAACCATACCACACATAAACATGACACTACCCCCGGGGTTTACACAGACGAGCCGGCGAAGCAAGAAGAGCGCCAGAAGAAAGGGCCCTAGCCGGCGGGGCCCAGCCAGGACAAAAGGAGGTCCCACAAAGCGCCTACACCGGCCGCATTTGCGGTCGGGGTAGACGACGGATGGGGCCCACCTACGAAGGCTGTCCAGGCCTACACGAGATGAGGCAGGATAAAGAGGGATAATCCCCCTCGATCCCAAATCATTGAGGCCAATTTCTAGCCATAGAATAATGGCGCGGCGCAGTCTATCTTAACCAAATGTTATCCAAAGATCTCCGAAACTGCTACTTTGAAACCAAACATTCCTTTAGAAAAAAAAACGATCATTCCCTAGTATTTGTTCATCTTTTTTACTACTGTATGGCCAAGTCACAGATGATAAAACAATTTATCTTCTGTGGCTCAGTGTCTACTACCATAGAGCAGAATGCTCGCCTCGCTATCTGTGTCTATCTATGATTAATGAATTATGGAGGGAACTTTAAGGAACTATCCGCATGGCACGAAAATTGGAAGGGAATCTATATGAGGAATTGTATTGTGACCAATCACATGAAAATAAACCTGATTTAAATTTCTATGTGACCAATCAAATAGCATATACCTTTGGGAAAACGCTTCATATTTTCATAAATTTGGCACAATTTTTAAAAGCCTATATTTGTGGTGTTTAAAAACATTACATAACTTACAAGCTTGTAAAACTTTTAGACACCTTAAGAAACTATATTTTTATTTTAAATTTCAAAATAATGAAATTAACTAAAGTCAAACAAAAAAAATAAGGTTAAGTTGTCAGTGAGTGAATTTCCAAGTTCCGTCACTCTTCCATTTCCATTTTGATAATTTGATTTCAAGTATTCATTTGCGATCTAAAACTTAAAACAGATTTTGTTTGTTGTTTGCAAAATTTTTGGAAGAGGTAAATGATTTAAATCACAATGCTCGGTCACGGCCGTAACAGGTGCTCACAAAATATCTTGAAAAATATGTAGATTAGAGTTAATTCTAAACAAAAAAGTCAAGTGTTTACTTATCCTTTGAATACTGTGAATAGTTATGTAGTTACAATATTAATTAGCTCAATCTAATATGAATTATTTTTTAATATCTTAGATTTGGAGGTTTTCGACTCCCTCAAGGTGTTGGTATGGATGCTCCCAAGACATCTGATATTGTCCTAATCTCTGGGAATTCTCATCCAGAGCTTGCCAACTTGATACACAAGAGGCTTGGTGTTAAGTCCAGTGGATGTGCTGTTTATCATAAGTCAAATCGTGAAACTATGGTACAAATTGGCGATTCCATTAGAGGCAAGGACGTGTATATCATACAAACAGGAGCCAAGTACGTCGTTTTTATTAATTTTATTTACAAATAGTCTCTTGACTTTTATATCTTTTAGAGATGTGAACAATAACATCATGGAATTGTTAATTATGGCATATGCTTGCAAGACGTCTTCGGCAAAGTCAATCGTTGGAGTGATCCCTTATTTGCCTTACAGTAAACAGTGCAAAATGAGAAAGAGAGGGAGTATTGTAACCAAGCTTGTGGCTCAAATGATGGTAAAATCTGGATTAACACATATTATAACGATGGATTTACATCAGAAAGAGATCCAAGGATTTTTTGACTGTCCTGTTGATAATTTAAGAGCCAGTCCATTTCTTCTTCAGTATATACAAGAAAGTGTACGTAATATTCCAAATTCTAGCATTAATCACATTAATTTTTAATAAATTTATTCTAGATTCCCGATTACCGCAATTCTGTCATAGTTGCTCGTAATCCGGCTGCCACAGCTAAAGCCACTTCTTACGCTGAACGTCTCCGCCTTGGTATAGCCGTTATTCATGGTGAACAGAAAGAAGCAGAATCCGATGAAGTGGACGGTAGGTATTCTCCACCAACTATCCCAAGATCTCGTACTATGGATGCTGGAGTGGGAGTGCCAGTACATATTGCCAAAGAGAAACCACCAATAAACGTAGTCGGAGACGTTGGAGGACGTATTGCTATTATGGTGGTATGTAGGAAATGTTTTGATCTTATATCATTTATTTTAAGTGTTGCAGAACTACCTTTTTTCATTTAGGTTGTCTCTTTTTGAAGATATCTCTTTATAAGTGAAAACAAAAATTTGAAAAATTATAGTTTGGTGTAAAAAAACAATACCTTTGAATCTTAGGCATGGACTGGAAAAAATTAGGAGAGTAAATGGCGACTACTATATTTATACGAATTGTTAGTGCCATGCAGAAAATGTGCCCGTGTGTCCTAACATTTTTAAAAAATATTAATTTTCTTAACACATAATATACTTTATTCGAATAAAATATGATATAAATTAGAAAACGGTATTCTAAAAACAAAAAAAGTGTGTCCATTTCTTGGGTGAGAAAGATATGTTTGTTTCCTAATGTATAGTATATTTTTGTTTTACGTTTTTCTATGCCCGATGAATCAGGCTGGCTAAAATCGTTCATCACAATGGTAATAAAGAAAATAAACCATTAATAGTACAAATTAAATGCAGAGTACTTATAAATCGGTTATGAAATTTTGTGACAATGATACCTCTGTAACAGCCTAAAAATCGTGTTTTTGACATTTTTTTTTTTAATAGAAGGAAAGGTAATAGAAAAAAACTGTTGAAGTATGTTATTAGGCATGTATTTAAGTGTACAGAAAAATTTTTTCATTAAAGAATATTTCAAAATGGCGCCACTGGAGCCATTCTCCTGAAGCACGTTGTCGTTGAGGCGGTCTGCGGCACGCACTAGAACTAGTGCAAATTTCAAGATGGAACAAAAAAAATTTGCTCTTAATCTACATGAGTATAGCTAGAGAAGCATGTATGGGAGGATTGTAAAAATATTATTTTTTGTAAAATTGGCAAGTGTTTGAAGTAAAACGTTATATTTTTGACGAAAAAAAAGGGCAGTTATTTGTTTATAACAATTGTGTGTGCCGTTTTGAAAAAGGTATTTCGAGAAAAACGGGTTTAAAGTTTTAAAATGAGTTTTAGACATGAGAAAATAAAAAATTCGACTGTTTTTAAATTTGGCTTGAATTGTACACACATACTGCCTGACGACATTTATGAGTGTATTAGAGAAGTTATAAATCAATAGGTAAGAAGACCTAGCAAGTATATTTATGTATACTATATTCAAAAATATTTATTTTTTGAGATAACAGGTGTTAGTGTCCTTAAAAAATTACTTTCCCAGTTATTTTCCAAAAGCACAATTTTTCATCATTGAAATTTTACAGTATGTTATTGACAATAAATAGCCAGTTTTTAAATGTCTCTTAGGAAACAGGAGTGAGAAATGCCCTTTTAGAAAATCCAAAACTAAAATAAATAATTGTTTTTTCAAAATTAAGAGAGAATAAGTTTCTTTTTTAAATACGCTGCTGATTATGTTAACAAAAGTAGCAAATGTCTACTTCCTAAGTGTAATCCCATCTTTTATGAACAATTTGTTTTTAATACATAATATATCTTCTATTAATTATTGCAATATAGTTCAATTTAATAGCAGTTTATTATAAAAATTTAGTTCAATAGTAAAAACAATTTATAAAAAAAAATCAGTTAATTTGCCTTTTTTGACAGCACTGAGAACATGCTGAAAAATATGGAACGATTTGAATGATCAAGAAAATATTAATGTCTGGCTTCGAGAGTTAATCAACAATGTGACACCATTATTATTGATCGATTGATTTTCTTCAATGTGTTTTGTTATTTATTTCAGTCTTCTTTCTTGTCACTGATTTTTTTATTTTTATTACCTACTATTGTGTCAATTTTTTTAATTTTTACTACAAACTGGTGCTTTAATTGGATTGGATTGGTGCTAGATTAGTACAGGATAATGATATGAAATAAAAAACAAATTGTTTAAAAATAGGGTTGTAGGCTGGTACTGGTAACGAAAAATCTAAATCTTGGTGTCACCAATATTAATGATTCATTTATAGTGAACAGTGACAAACCGTTACATTTACGTCCGAGATATTGCAATCGTTGATTGGTTGAATAGAATATCGTGAAAAATTGCACCGATCAGTGGCTGGTGAAACAGAATGTGTTTTAATGTAATCTTGATCTTATTGATTTAATTTTACCCAAATTTAACGTGAAGAAAATAAAATTACTGGTCACGTGGCTTGTAATCATTTATGAAGGCTCTTGTATGCTGAACGGAACTAAATTGAAATATTCAATCAAAATTTCTATCTTAGAATCTACTGAAAAACAAAAAAAAAATTAAAAATGGAGTAGTAATTTATGAAAAAATCAATTTTGAAATAAGGACTCATTTTTATTGGTGTATTAGTTTTGATGCAAACTGTATAATACAAATTATTGTTATTTTATCGATAACTTACCTGTTCCTATAGTTTCATGAAAATAAAATAAAACCACCCTGTATTACTGACTTATCAGTCTAATAATGTTTAAAAATATTTAGTAAAGCGACTTTCCAGAGCATTTCAGTGTAATTTTTTACTCTTAGGATGATTTGATTGGCGACGTTCAGTCTTTTGTGGCAGCTGCAGAGGTTTTAAAAGAACGCGGTGCATATAAGATATATGTTCTTGCCACACATGGTCTTCTTTCTTCTGATGCTCCTAGGCTTATTGAGGACTCCCCTATCGATGAGGTACGAACTATGAACTGTTTTTTTAAATTCAATATTTTGTTTTTTAAATGCATTTTTCAAATATGTAGGTCGTGGTCACAAATACCATCCCTCACGAACTACAAAAAATGCAGTGCCACAAGATTAAAACCGTAGACATCTCAATACTGTTGTCGGAGGCTATTAGAAGAATCCACAACAAGGAATCTATGTCGTATTTGTTCAAAAATGTCACTCTTGAAGATTAAGTATAATAGATTAGAATGTATATCCTTAGGCATTTTAGGAATGCATTTTTTTTATTATTTGGACAAGTATTTTATTTGTATTTTGATTTTACTATATCAATTATTTAGTTAGTATTTTGATTTTATATTTCATGATGTTTTCCTATTCATATTGAACTCAGAACTGTGCTTGTTACTGTAACCATTATATTATCAATAAATGTATTAGTTTATGATGTCGAGTTTTTGTTCGTTTTCTCTGGGAAGTTTGCCATATACCTCCTTAGAGTTCTAGGGTCTTCGGGAAGTTATTGAGTAAACCAGTAGACTGCAAATTGTTCATCATCAAGCATTTAAACTAGTGGTTGTCAAACTATGGGGTCCCCTCTGGGGTCTTGTGGAAGAAGTTGTACAGGGGTCGCTGAAGGTTTGGATGGATAGATGTTTATTAACGTTACACAAAAAGTATTTACACACATCAAAAAGGATTACATAAAATCATTAGTTTTTACTTCTAGCGTTATAAGCATTTTATGATGTAGATTTATTTTGACATTTTTTTCATAAAATGGAATGTTTTCGAGAAAAATGGCAAAATGTGATTGAATGCATCACCAACCACCTACGATTAACGTAGAATTTCATAAGAATCACAATATACATTCGATCACATTTTGCCATTTTTCGCGAAAACATTGCGTTTTATGAAATAAATATCGAGAGACAAAAAAGTTCAATGGCTTTCGAGCATCTAATAATTTTTAAGAAATTCAAATGTGACCAAATTTTCTTGGCTCCAAAGACAGGGGGGTCCATGAGAAAATGTTTTAAGGGGGTTCCCTTAACAGAGTTCTGAGATATAAAAAAAGACTATTCTTAGGGGCGAATTTCAGGGGGCTGCAACTCCGAAAGAGGGGGCCACTTGGCAAAATAGAAAATATGGGTCTCCTAAATTTATGTTAAGAATCTGTCACCAAATTTCGTTGCATTAATTTCTATAAAAATGAAAATACATATCTACGCTTTAGTATGAAAACATGCTATCTCACATTTAATGATTGAAACCGTGCATTTATAATAAACTTATATATTTTTCAAAAAGTAAGGAATATTTATGTTCAGGTACACTGTTTATTTTATTTTTTTTATTCAACATTTTTCAATTAATTTTGTTAAGTTACTGTTATAAACGACGAAATTGTTAATTAAAAAAATAGAATAATATGCAGTATGCTGCAACACGTACATTACTCGACGTTTTTTGAAATAACAAATGATAAAAAAATAGTGTATACATACCATAATATATAAAAATGTTTCTTATTACTAAAAATTATTCGATTCTTTTCATACAAGTTTGCTTTGATATCAAAATTAATAGCGTACTCTTATCTGATTTATAGTCGCTACTCTTGATACACTTATTTTTATTTTTCACAAAATCTGGGATGCACAATTTATTCTGAAAATAATTTTGTATCCTAATGCTGACTAAGAAGACTGCAATAAAAAGAATCATATAGTGGACCAGGCTAGGCCCCAAACTCCGGGTTCGAGTCGTTCTTACTGCACCTCAATAAAAACAAGGTAGCCGCGTCCTTGCATAGACTTTGGAAATGAAATGCAGGTATGCGACACTTTTATTACCGGTACTTTATGATCTGATAATAAACATGTGTGCATGGGGAACCGCGGAAATGTGCACGTGCATATCAAATGCGCCCGTCGCATCGATATATTCATATCATTCAACTTTATACATTATATTTATATTCTGATTATTATGTTAAGTCTATTAATAAAAGTAAGAGTGCTCTATTAATTTTTATACCAAAGCAAACTTGTATGAAAAAAATCGAATAATTTTTAGTAACAATTTTTATATATTAATGTATACACTATTTACACTAGTAATGTACGTGTTTCAGCATACTGCATATTATTCTATTTTTTTAATTAACAATTTTGTCATTTACAATAATAACAACAAAATTAATTGAAAAATGTTGAATGAAAAAAATAAAATAAACAGTGTACCTGAACATAAATATTCCTTACTTTTTAAAAAATATATATAAAGTTTATTATAAACGCACGGTTTCAATGTTTCAATCATTCAATGTGCCAACTTAAATTTCTAGTCACACTGAGATAGCATGTTTTTACCTAAAAATTTGAGTTAGCATGTTTTCCAAGCTTAATTTGAGATAGCATGTTTTCCAACCAAAATCTGAGATAGCATGTTTTCGTACTAAAGCGTTGAATTATACAAAAAATAATGAGATAATTTTTTTACGTTGGCTTTTTCTAACTAGAAAAATAGGGTAACATAAAATCGACTAGCCCATCGTCATACTGCTATAAGAGGTCAGGGCAAAGGAAGATGTAAAGAATAGGGTTACTTGTAAATTCAGTTTTGTTACGTAATTATTAATATGACATGTAAAATAATCCCTAGAGCTTTCCCAGATTCAGGAAATGGGACCGAATTGACAATATAACAAGTACTTAAGGCATTAAGGAGATGCCGTCTTTGTCCTTAAAGACCAGAACTGGCAAATAAATTGATAACAAAACTTCTGAATCCACAATGGGCAGGAAGTAAAAGTGTCGAAATCCAGCAAGATCCCGAAAAGGTAGTTCTCCTTGGGTTTCCAAACAGTCCAGTCTACTTAAGTTTAGAATGTCGGGGTTAATTTATTAAGGGGTAATGCTATGATTCTAAATACAGCCATGTATATGTGATTCCTTGAGTCTCAAAAATCACATCGCATGCAAAATTTTATGCATTGTTACTATAAAAAAACCTACCTTAAGAAGTTCTGATGTTTTCTTGATGACTTTAAATTAAGCGATTCATTGCATGAGAGTGTAACACCCTGTACGACAATTCCATGAATTTAAACGCTAGGTAAACAAAGGAACGGTAAGTACCTGAAATTAATTCTCGGAACGTACCACTTTTTTAAGTTCCAACGTACCATAATTAAAGTGTAAATGAGAATCGATGAGCTCCTTTTCACAAGTTGATATCGTTACGGTACTCTTCGTAACGATGGGTAAATAAATAACCCCTCAGGTTACAAAAGTTACAAAGTTTTTCATATCGCATCAGATGCAGCCGCCTTCACGGTCGGATTAATCTACGAGAACAATCAGCGACTTGCCGATATAAAATTTCAAAACCTAAACACTTTTTGGTTTGATTGTAAGAAAAAACAAAATCTAAACACTTTTTGGTTTCATTTTGCCAGATCTTGCTAAGGGCCCCCGATCTCATGATGTCCGCGGCTATAGGCCCTGTAGCCCTCCTAGACCCGGACCTGGCTACTTTTGGTTTTTGATCAGAACTTGGTTCGTAATCAAAACGTTCATTCGTCCAAAGCCGTGAGCAGGAAGATCGTATAATTTTAACTATTACATCTCAATTTTGATATAATACGACGCACTAACGATTTTATAGATATGTCAATGTTAAAACTTTTACTAACTGAAATGAAAATAAGATTTTACTGGATATAAAATATAATCTTCAACATACGTCTTATATTACACAAACTATCAAAATGTGTATTCTAAATTGTTCAAATATATTATACAGATCCATTTTTAAATCATTTGTGAATAAGTTACGGTACATTAAAATTCAAAATCAATAAATATACATTTCGTTTCAATTATATACATTAATATAACTAACAAAATCTGTAGACATCAGTGCATCACAGTTTTTACAAGAAATAACTCGAATTATATACAATCCAGACATTTACGATGTAACATTCAAATGAATCACCTTTCGCACAATTTCCTAAGTAAAACAGAAAGAAATGTTTTCTAACGAAACGTGCTATACGATGCCTAGAATTAAAATAAAATCTTTACATAACCTTCGTAAATAACACTCTTTTAATGAAAACTAAATAACAACTACTCCTAAGTTGCAGTAAAAAATGTAAAAGTAATTAAAAAATTAAAAACATACACACGATAGCTTGCATGATAACGACTATGTCTCTTCTACAGACAACGACATTAGGTGAGTCATGGCATGTTTCACGAGGATCTGCTCGTCTTCGATCAATATCACGTATTTGCCCGACGGGATGATATCAGACTCTATACTGGTTTCTTCAACTGGTTCGCCGGTCTCAGCTTTCCAACAGAGAATGCCCTGATCGTAAAAGGACAGTAGCAAACCATTTTCTATACATACGCCTCTTAGTCTGAAAGGTAATTATGATTATTCTGAAAATACTTTGGTTTCATTGGTAGACATGTACAGGGTGTGTCACTTAACATATCCACTGGCGTTTTCTTTGAAAGACTTAACTTAAATCGGCTCTAACTACAGATGGAGGTCAGTAAAGAGTCAAACTTGACATAGAAATAATCTTTATATTCTCACTTGTAAGCAATGTTATTGCGCAACAATATTTTAAAATCTGATAACAAAAAATTTGAGTTCATTGCTTGGAAAATTAAAAAAATGTTACTACTTATTATTTTTTCTTGAAATGAGTGCCGCTATTCCGAAACCTATCAGCAGAGAGATGAGGAGCGTCATCCGCTTTCTTCATAAAGGGAGTCACCGATCCAGATTTTTAAAGAAATCAAAACTGTTTATAGGGACGGTGTGATGAATCGTACTAATGTGTGCAAGTGGTAACGTGAGTATAAAGCTGCCAGAACGAATGTTCATGATGAACAAAGTAGTGGGCATCCCTCAATCGTGACTGATGAGATGGTGAACTTTGGATGAGATGAACGCAATGTTTCTACAAATCTCCAGATCTCTTCTGCATGAAATCACTACTGAAACATTAGGTTACTGAAAATTGTGTGCGAGGGAATTTCCCGCAAGCTTTGAACTGGAAGGTGAACAATTCCTTGACTATTGTGACTGCCGACGAAACATGGGTGGGTCACTATGCCCACGAGACGAAAAAACAATCAATGCAGTGGCGACATCTGTCTTCACTATCAGGGAAAAAATCAAAAACGTTCTTTCGGCCCGAAAAATCATAACAACTTTTGACTTTTGACAACAATTAATGCTGCGTGGTACTGTGAAATCCTGAAGACCCTACGGAGGGTGATACAGAACAAAAGAAGGAGAATGTTAATGAAGGAAGTGTGCTTGTTGCATGGCAATGCATGTCGCCACACAACCAATGCTACAAAGCAACTTTTGGATTCATTTGGTTGGATAATCATCAACTACCCCGCTCACAGTTTTGACCTCGTAATTTCATCTTTTCTCTTCTATCAAGGTGTTTGAGTGGAAAATTTTTTGTAAATATACTACCGTTGCGATTTTAAAATATTTGGGTTCTCTTACTTTGCGGATGTGCCTCGTATAAATTAAATAAACTCTTGAGTTAAAAGGATCAATTAAAGATTATTCTTTGTTATTAAACTATTTTTTAGTAGCCAAAAATTTCAGATTGATTGTGAGAAGTAACACAAATTAAAAAAATACATGTTACTATATTAGATACTTCAATTAAAGTCAACATTTCGAAAGATCGATCCTTTTTCATTATCATAACTGGAAATGACAGGTTTGACAGTTTATTAAATTAAAAAAGAAACATCATATCTGCAAGAACTATAGAACAGTCAGGCATTTTTCATAATTCAAATTAAATATAGAATGCAATAACACATCTATTTCTGATTTGCTTTTCCTATAAACTGACAGATGATGACAAATTACACAAACAGAAATCTTTATGTTTAAACATACAGGCTGTTACAAATTTGCTTCTCACTACAGGGATCTCGGAAACGCTAAGAGGTACGAAGTAGCTTAAATGGGGGCAAAGTTGCGTAATTCAGTAGAAAGTTTCGTAATAGTTTTATTTAATATGTTAGGGTAAATAAAATATAAAAACCAATTACGTCCATTTGATAAAATAAAGTTTTTACAGAAATATTAGTTTCCAAAAATAAATAATCTGACCCATCAGCTGGGTTATAACGGCCTATCGGCTTTATGGGTTATTTCAAGTTGGATTCACGATAAGTGTAAACAGCAAACTTGAAATGTTCAAATTCATTTTTCAGGCTAAGCCTCGTTGCTCACTTGTCGCTATCTGGATCCGGCTGGCTCTTTCACATGTAATTTAATTTTCAAACCGGTTTGGCCGATATTAGTCTCGGTTGCATTTTTATCACAACAAGAGATGGATCGTAGACGCATTGCAATTGTGTGGCTTGGCTATTGCCAATGTCGTCGCAATAAAAAAAAAACAAAAAATATGAAAAATATCCAAAAAATATGAAAAAGCTAAAGTTTTATCACACTGGACAGGTCTGTTTTCAACCAGTCTTCAATAACCCTAATCAAACTGTGCGAAAGGTTAAAAGATTTTATTCTTGTCAAAAAATAATAAACAGAACTGCAAATATCTGAAAAAAGGTTGATTTCAAGGAACAAACGAAAGAAAATAAGAATAAATATGATAAAAAATTTTTTTGTTAAATTAAGCCCTATACTATCCTTCACCTATGACTAACGCCAATTTAAAATATGTGTTTGGTTTTGGGAAAGTTAAATAGCACACCCTGTTTACGAAAAACTTTGCGAGTCCTAGACATGATGTGGGCAAGATATAAGGTAGAATTACCTGTCGAATCCTTCAGGTGGAACGTAGCTGGCCAATTTTTTCCATGAATGGTTTAAACCATTAATAGCGATCAGTCGAAGTTCTCTATCTACACACTGCTGTAGGGCGAATAAAAACCCCTAAAAACAAATGGACTGCTTTCTATCTTTTTTTGTTAAGAATCAGTTTGTTGGTATTCAAAAAGGAACATTTTTTGTAAAATAAAAACAAAATCAACAGTTAAATACAACTAGAAATCGAATAAAGAACAAAATGCAAGCACGTCGAAGCCTAGTTGAGAAAAAAAACAAACTTAAATATTCCTCACTTACCCTGTCACACTTAACCCACAAAGTAGACAGTGGTGATTTAATTTCAGATAATACTACTGTGGCGATAATATAGCCATATTCCACATTCCATAAGGTTATCTTATTCTCTCCGCAACCCATTATCACATCGTCACAATCTGTAATGAGACAAAAATACATTTTTTTAATCAGGTCTATCGACATAGTTACCTTCGATGTTGTGTAGGGATGAAACGTAATGGTCCACGGGTTCTATGTTGTATATATTAGCCACCGTTTGATAATCCGCGGCTGGCTCATAAGCGTGTATGAACGTTCTCTTTGTCGCTCCATCATCGTGCGCAGAGTGCCAACTGACGATTATTTTAGGAACGCTTTTCATTACTGAATACTGAACGTCATCTGCAAATCTGCAAAAATAATAATTAGATAAATAGCATTTAATGCACAGAATTTTTAAATTCTTTCTATAATGATAAACCCCAGCAAAAATTAGTTTAAAAATCATAAGGCTAGGTCATGTCCATCCATCAAATCAATTCATAAAAATAAACAGGCAAGAGATGGTGTTGTTTTCGTCAACCAGCTGATCGATTAACGAAAAAAACAAATAATAATTTTGAATATTGTAGATGTGATTGGAATTTTATATTGTGCTGTCATTGTTTTATGTGGTTTTGTTATTGCATTTTATACTGTAACTTGAATTACGAAACGCATCTGAGGTTTCTGTTCTTGCAAATATTTTAACATACTTTACAGTTACAGGTAAATAATTAAAATGGTTTTAAAAAATAAAATAAAATAAATGGTTTTATCAGTTGTTTGCTACCGCACTACTTTGCGATGCCATTTAGTGTGATCGAGAAGAGGAATGACAGTGACAGGATGATCTTACAGCATGAGCATAATAAGTAACAGTCTAGAAACAGCCAAACTCAGTTTGCTTCGAGGTGCCCCACATCCACATTTTTTTTAAATTAGATTCCATCTCGTGGGGATGGGAATCGTAGATCAGACGAAATGAGAACTATCAAATGAATTTAGCTATTGAATAATTAATAATTAGTAGCGTTACCTATTAACTAAATTCATTCAATGTTGGACTATGAAATCTCTTATTTATTTTTGGAAAGAAAAATAATTTATCAATATACTCCAAGTTATTAGGGTACGGCAGTTATTCGTTTATGCAAATAATAATTATTGTTCTTCCTGTTCACAACCCCTACCAGGAGGTGTTTCACCCTTTCCCATGTTGTAAAAGTGCTTTCTTACCAAAAAATGTCCAGTCTGAATACCCATCACAAGGTGATTTGACCTAGACATGGCCTGATATTTTTTGGCTGTATCCTTGCTAGGATATTCTAAAAACTCCTTAGCAAAATAACAGTTATTTGTTTCATCCCACCGTCTCATAGATTCTTTGTGAGTGGTTCATGTGCTAACCATTATTCAAGTACCTTTTGGATTATCGAATAATTCAAATAGTTTGGTACTATTGAATATTTTGACAGTTCTTATTCGATAGCGCCTATCACTATACTCCGCGGACGAAATTATAGAGAGTGACTCATCGCTAACTTTTGAACTAGTAAGGGGGCTGAAGCGTGCCGGAAACAAAAATCCATTGGCGTGTCTGCGTAAAAGGCAACAAGATATAGAAAATATTGAAAAAAGATAATAAAACATAACAACTAATATTTTTTTACGGTTTGCTATAACCGGCACTTTGACCCATTTTAATTATTACAGCATTTTTAAATGTCCCAGTTGTGTTTTTTTAATTTATAAATTTATTACAGCCATGGAATTAGACCCCTCGTCTACGCTTATGCTATGACGTTTCTCAGGACTGGTAAATCAAGTCCGTTTACACCCACTAAAAAAGCATTTCCCTATTCCCTACCAAATGCAAAAGACAGAGATAGAATATAGGTCGACGTTCAGTGTAACTCAGTCTATAGACGATTATAGATTCTATCGATGTGCGTAGCGAGCGGCACAAAGATAAATAATATTGAACCATATAAAAATCATTTTATATTTTATATGCAGTATGGTAATAATGTTTTTATATTATGTCTGAGTCACTATCTATAATTTCGACCGCGGAGTATAGATCAGATGACACACAGTAGAAGAGCAGGTTTTGTCAAACACTAAATGAAGATGCATTCTTGATAATGTGACAAAATATATGTAAATATTTACATCCATAATTAATTTGTAGTATTAAAAAAATATATATTTTTTGCAACTATTAGTTGTTTTTGGTTATAGACTACAAATTTACGTAGTTCCAAAAGAAATTGAGAAAACTTTTTTAATTGTAAACTTCCTCAATTTTATGAAAGATCAAAAGGGACAGTATATTAATGGAAAAAAGGAGAAATTTCAGGTGTTCATTGCTTATTTTTTGTTCTTGATTTTTTACCTATGCCATTTATATCTTCCTATTTTTTTGTTTTGTATTTATTTTCTTTGTTTGTGTGACATAAATTATCATAATAATGCTGAACTTCTAAAGAACAAAACTTACAGAAATCAGGACTTTACATAAAAAAAATGTGTAGTGTTTTGTCACTGAATACTGCTCTACAATTAATGCAAGCTACAGACAATTTTGGTAAAATATCTATATAAATTTTGTTTTGATAAAAATTTTAATTCGAACCATACGCCATTCTTATCAACTTCTAATGTACTAGACTAAGGAGTGAAGACTCTTACGGGCCACGCATACAAATTCGGATCCCGTTTTATGACCCAAAGTAAAGTTTAAGGATTAGCGCTGATGCACTGGAACCTAGTAACAAAGTTGTGCTTACAATGTCAGAGGCAGTAGATAAGTGGAAGGACTTTAAGAAATTAGTAGAAAATAAAAGTTAACGTTTATATTGTCATTTTAAATTTCTCGCGCATCAATGCTGCCTTTACATGCGTGACCCATGAAATTGCTCACTTTTTTAACACTCCTTGTATAAACTCCATATACTAGACCATGAACATGTTATCTCAGAAAACATCTTATTTAAATAACCCCTCTGTGTCCCTCTATTAATAATAATAAATAAAAGAGGACAATAGTATGAAATTTTAGTTGAAAAATAAATGGCACAATTAAGGCATAGTTTACCAGGTCACAGTTAAATAATGATTTTGATGACAAAAATAAAATAGTACAGGGTAAGTTTTTATCACACTGTTTCATTCTCGGTTAACATCTGAAAAGGTAGCAAATATTCCATTGCTGCATTGTAGCATTGAACAATATCTTTTAATCTCATATTGATTTCCGTATTAAAAGAAACTAACACTTGAACTTTTCCCCACACAGTTGCACAATATTGCCAGAAAAATACAAAAATAATCAGATACAAAACAAAATATTTTCCCTGTGACAGTGATTTTAAGTTAATACAATAGATGTCACCACTTCCATTATTCTCGGGAACGGGAATTATCTGTTACATTATTTGGTAAGATTGATGATGCCATGGGATATAACATCCAGCAAACTACTAGAAGTGTTGGAAAATGTTTGGCATATGCACACTATCAACATTCTATTGAAAACTATTAGTGCACATGACAAATTATTAGTGCATATACTCCAAGCAGTTTCTAACGTTTATAGTAGTTTGCTGCAACAGACGTATAACCTCAACGACATGTCAATGATAACACATTCACAAATATTTATTTGTTTTCCTTTGGAAATTGAAATACTATGATAAAAAACTACAAGTTTCTTGAATTTGAATTCAGGAAATATTGTAACTAATTCACTACTATTTAAAAGTGTAGTTGAGAGTAGCGAAAAAGATCAATTTTACAAAAGCATTTTCTTCCTGTTTTATATTGGGACACTCACCCATTAATATTCTCCAATTGCAATACTTTCTTACTAAGTCCGCTCTGCCTCTGCTTCCAAAAGTAAACTGTTGCGAACACATCAGCTACCGGACCTTCTCTTATGTCGGACTTATGTTCTTTTGTCCAAAGTTCGACGTAAGCCACATGCGTCTCCATGGCTATAATCATTTCCATCGATTCTTTCTGCAAGCATTTACCGTTCAAATAGAGTCGCTGAGTCTGCCCTCGAGGGATCCACATATTCTGAGACCCAAGAACATTCCCTACAAAGAGACATATTAATTTTTTATATTAACACTGACCTAATAATATTCAATAAAAAAATACCTAATGGAGTTTGCATCCAAAATGAAATAACTTTTTCCTGACACACTATTAGATTAAAGTCAATATAGAATGCTTTTAAGACAGCTCCATTTTGTTTCTCTATAGAAATATAGTGCGACTGCTTCTTCGACTTCTGTTTAGGTGAATTGTCAGGGTCCCACTCTCGAGTAAACGATTGATCTGCCAAAGAATTATCTGTTTTTCTCTCCACATGTTGCAAACTTCTATGCAATGATTTCATTTCTACTGACTTGTTGTAAGGCAATACTTGGAATTTGGTCTTTTTTTGTGCGATACGAGAATACATTTCCCGCTTTCTAACAATTAACTTTTTATTTGGAACCGTTATATCTACTTCTGCTTCCTCTTCCAATTCATCATCGCTTGGTACACCGGCATAATCATGTTCCTGCAGAGTGATGCCATTTGTTAATTGATGCTTCTTATAGCTAGCGGATTTGTCATCGTCTTCATTTTTTATAATCAATTCATTATCACTAAGATCATACTCAAAATTACTGTCTGGTAATGAAGATACCAATTTTTCTATAGCAGTTTTTGTATCAGTCTTATATTCTGCATCATCCCTTTCTCTATTCTCTGATTTTACTGCATCTATATTGAGTAAATACTCTTCTGTTACATCCCTCCTGCCACTGCCTAAAACCGAATTTTTGTATACTTCACACAGCATCTTAACTTCGTTTCCGCCTGTTTTATTAAATCCATATAACGGTGACATTTCTTGTAAGCTATAAAATGAGTTGGATGGTTCTTCCATAACACTGGTAATTGTTTCTCGTGGTGTTGGTTTTGTTGATAAAATCCTATTCTCAATCAAACATTTCTTGTGTTCTTCACTGAGATTATTGAAGTCTATCATATCATCCATCAGATTTTCTATATCGATGTAACTATCCTCACTACTTTTAGGTATCGTAACAATTTCACACTGAGGGCTAGTTGGTTTTAGCTTTGTCTCTACTCTTGAATTTTCAGATAAAGATTTTTTCCTAGATTGTGGTGATCTCTTTTTAATATCTCGATTTTCCCGAACTGATTTTCTTATGCTCTTTCTATTAAGTTCCTTTTCTTTTTTTCCTATCAGTTTTTTTAATGAAACATTTTTAAATTTCCCAGTACTTCTCAACGAATTAATTCTGGCTGCAGTCATTGGTTTTCTATACTTTTTCTTTAATAAATCTTTAAATTTGTGTTCTTCTTTCTTCACATTATTCTCTTTAAGACCAACTTTACGTTTGACTTGAAGCACTCTTTTTACAAGGTTTTCTTTTGTTTTTGGAACATTTTTTGTTAATCCTATTTTACAACTTACTTTAAGGTTTTTTATTCTACATATTCTTTTATATCTAGAGATTAATTTTGTCATAGTATTATCAAAATCCTCAACATTTTCAGTTAATTCTTTTGATGGAAAAGGAAAACAAAAGACATCAGCCTCAGCTTCACTGATTTTATTTTTAAAAAGTTCATCGTTAAATTTTGCTTTTTCCACTCTGATATTGAGTTCTCTAAACGATTTCAATGTTGGACATTTTTCTGCATCTTTTACCAACTGTTCACTATCCCCACTCTCTGAAACTTTATCATTCATTTTTCTTTTTTCCTGCATTGCGGTTAAATTTCTAACCCTTGTAGAACGTCGGTTTTGCAATATGAACCTTTCTTTTTTATCTGCAGGATTCATTAACTGCAAATAACTGCATAATTCCTTTTTCCTACTCTCAGGACTTAAGGGTACTTCATAAACTTCAGAACTTCCATTCGATTTTGCATCATTTAAGATTTCTTTCTGTACCGAAACATTAATATTATGTTTAGTGTAGTGGTTCATAATTTTGCTAGAATCTGAACGTTTTAACAACAAATTTGTTTGTCCAATTCCTTCATTACTGAAGCCTGGTTTTCTTCCCGTAGGATCTGATTTGCTCGATATGCTAGTGACACAACTATTCACTGTTTCAGATTTATCATTTTTTAAACAACTTATTAAAGAACTAGATCTGCCAAATGCAGCTAAAGGTGGATAGTAGGTTTTAGCAGATTTATTAAAATCACAACGAAATAAGATTACACTTTTCGAATCAGAACTAAAATCGTCTTTCGGAGTTTCTGTCTTGGCACTTTCCTTAAAACTACCATCTTTTACATCATCTTCCAAATCTACTACAGCAGATGAAACATGTCTAGGTTCTTCAATACTCTTAATCCAATTACTAACTTTCTGAATATTTGAAATGCTTGTGTTGGAATCTCTCCGTTTAAAAGTATTACCTCTTGATGTCCAACTTACTGGTACTCGTTCTAAACTTGTGGAGCCTAAACTTATAACAGATTCTTCATTGTTTCGTGAGCTATAGTTCAACTGAACAAAATCCGAATTGTTAGGGGCAGTACTTGTACTTGAAATGGTTATCGGAGTATTCATTTCAGAAGAAATTTTCCAGTAACATTTCTACAAATTTTGTTATTATATACTTGTAAGCTTATGGTTTGTAACTGTGAAATATTTTATTTGAACATTTTGTAACTTGATAATTAACAAGGTTAAGGGCTGTACTTAAACAGAATTTCTCACAATGTCCTTTTTAAAATTTTTCCAGATCGAAAAAATGTTTTCAGCTACCACATTGGCAAATAAATTATTGAGTCGATTTTGAGGACATTACGGCACAATATACAATTTTTTTTTATTAGTTTTGGTCTTCGTTCTTTTCACTTCTCTTCTAGTTTGTGTTGACTGTTGATAGGTGCACTAAAATGATGACCAATAGATGGAGCACCAACAGCGAGTAAGTAGCGTGCTCTATTTTATAAAATTTAAAACACTAGGAAAATAGAAAATTAAAATGGCGTCAGGTACTGACGACTGACGTTCATTTAAAAGATTGAAATTTCAATTTGAATCCGTGTGATTTCGAGTGATATTTGTGCGAATTTTATAATTAAAAGACTTTTAACGGATAGGTAAGTGCTTTATTGTATATACTTGTATCTAAATTAGTATGTGCTTTATAGGAAAAGTTGCTCCAATTTAAATGGCGTCTTAAATTACAAACTGCCTACGTATTGTGTTAAATTTATATTATTATTATTCTGAACCTTTTCTTTCAATTTATTGCTTCGGCACAATAACTATATTTGATTTACGGATGACCTAGATTCTTGAATATGTAATCTGTATACCAACAAATTTCCTTCGTCAATTTTGATAGGTAGATACCTAATTTTCTGATACGCATATCATATCGTTTTGCAAAATAAACGAAAAATCAATGGTGCAATAATTAACCACATTTTAATATACCTGTTGAATTACGATTACAAACAGTTGTTGTTTATACGTAAAGGTTCATTTTTATTGTAACATTTTGTTAACAAATATATCCGCCTCGGTAGGTACATAAAACTTGTTTCATTCATGCTTATAGGCCTATAGCAATATATTGGGATATGGCTATGAAATAGTGGTATCCCAGATAGTATTTATTAATTATTAATTTCAGTACTACTAGCTACTTAGGCTTCATGTAAATAGGATGCCTAGGTATTTATTGTTTATCTATGTAAACTAAATTGAGTAATTATTTTCGTAACTAATTGCCTAAAAACATAATTGAATTCAGTGGGGGAAGTTGATTCGGTTATCTTTGTTGTTATTACACTAGGAAGTATTACAAAATTCGTTAATTATTATTTTAATGATATGTATGTCACAAAATGAATGTTTTCCTAGGTTGACATATGGCATAATAGGTATTACTATGCATATTTATTTATAACAAATTACAAATATTAAATTTTATACCTAGTAAGATAACTAAAGTACCTCTAGATCCATTAGAATGTACACTAATTAATACTTTTTGCATATGATTAGGAACACTTTACGTTTTTAGTTTACTTAGATGTCACAACATTTGTAGCACAGTAAAATACATTATAATAATATATTTATACAATAAACTTCATTTGAGTAGATAGTGTTGTAAGAGGCGTTTTTTTTAAAATTTTATGTAGTACCTTATTTCGAAAAACGTAGCCGCCGGCTTATTATGTTTACATTGTTTGATTTTTACGCCGATTTTTTACAGTGTGTTCTTCAAGCATATTGTCAGAACCATTTCTCATTTACAGTCCAACCTTATAGGAACCTACAATGTTATAAATTTATCACAACTCGTTGGTCTGAATCAAAACGCAGCATTTGTATTGTTTATTTATGCCGAGAATAAGTAATTCGTTAACTAAAGTTTATTAACAGCAATATCTATATGAGTAATTATAATTACACTTTAAACATAGGATATTTACCAAAGAAATTAATTTAGTCTAAATATGGTCTATCATACATTTATCACATGTAGTGATATCATTTTCACATGATGGCATGTAGAAGCAGTGGTCTGGTCTCAGGTGTAGTTATAGTTAACAGAAAAATGTATAAAACAGGTAGCTAATTATAAAAATATATCTATAATGTTTAAAATTAGATTCCAAAATTTCCCTGAATTTGAACAAGTAATTGTATCAAGTTCAAATTCTTCAATTATGTGGTTAATTAACACAAGGTCAACCTCTGCAATTTATTTTTATATGCATTGCTATTTTTAAATTTATAAATAGTCCAACACTATTTTTATCACGAAATCCTTGTTTTAGCTTTCACTGGCGTTGTAGTTAACTTTTCCGTTTATATTTTATAGGGAGATTAGGCTTTGTAAAAAAGTGGTAATATCAAATTATTACAGCCACTATGTCTACTTTTGAATTAATTTCGGAGGTAAACCGGTAAAAGATTAAGTGCATTTTTATCTTTAATTAAATAAATTATTAGCCCAAGTTATATCGACTTAGGTCTACCGAGTTATTTGAAAAAAGTTATTTTTAAACCAGTGCCGTAACTAGAAGAAATTTTACTAGAGGCAAGCTTTTAATTTTGCGGCCTTAATTCTTAAAAATAAGCAAAAACTCAAAACATTTTATTTTTAAAAATGTAATAAAAACAAAAATAAAACATGATAAATTATTTCACTTAATATACAGGGTGTTTCATAATGATGTGCAAATATTTTAAGGTGTTTAAAAAGTAATTTTAGGGGAGGTACTTCGATTTGAGCTCCCCCCCTGAGAAAATATTCAAATATCAAAATGGCCGAAAAAATTAGCTTTTTGCAAAAATCATGTCAAAAATGACGATCGGTTTTGGTAACTGTTGTACTAATTAATGTGTACCTAATCGGCAAGGAAAAATAATTGATTTTTTTGCTCGTAAACCATTAAGTATACGAAAAAATGGGAAGAGTAAAAAAGTTTCTTAATGAAATGTAGTATTTTTCTTGTTGGAATTGGCTAACGTAGAAAAAAGTTGTGAGAGAAATAAAACCAAGGGGTGCTAATTTCTTTCATTCAGACATAAACCAGAAAAAAAGACTACCAAAAAATACCATTCAACTAGTTGTTAACGTGTATCAAAACTCAAATTTCTAAGTTTAAGCGTTTTCTTGAATAAAAAAAAAAATAAAAGCTAATTTTTTCGGTCATTTTGAGATTTGAATATTTTCTCAGGAGGGCCTCAAATAAAAAAAAATAGGAAGTACCCCCCGCACATCATTATGAATCACCCTGAATATTCTAAGATATAAACAAACACACAAAGACAACTGTAGAAACAAAAAAATATTCAGTACATAAATATCTAATTATTTGTAAAAAAAATTAAAAGTAAATCTACTAATAAGCCAGAATTAAAAACATAATAATATACAGGGGAAAAATTGTTGAACGTACAGGGGACTCTTTTATGTACAGCTTTGTAAAAAAAAAAAATCAGAAACGACAATTCGAAAATAATTTTAAAAATACTCTTCTGCATAGCACTGGAAACTGGTCCACTGTAAAACCTTACCATATGCAAGGCAAAACATGCGGTCGGCGACCGGCAAAAAATGAACAAACAAAAAATTGAAAGAATTTCTTTCCCAAGAAGTAAATAAAATTTTATAACATCTATTTTACGTCAACAAATTCAATTGCTTTTGCCTCTATTGTTATTATTAATTAACACAATTAATTTGTAGTTTTATTTAATAAAGTAATTACAGCAACTGTTAAAAATTTTGTTCACCGACGTGTAAACACATTTGGGTCCATATTGCTTCACCTTAAATTAAAACGATATCCATCAATTTCTGAGTTGCTATACACGTAAACCATTGTTGGTACTTAAAGAACTAATGTAAACACTATCACATTTCAGTATTCGAATCGTCCGGGGCCTCGTGGAGGGAGAACGTATTGCGCACAGCCTACAACGCGAATGACGCTAGTGGCTACAATAGTCCAGCGATGTTGAAGGTTGAAAATACTATAACTTTTTTTTTCTCGGAAACTATAAAGAATTTACAAAAATTCCCAGAATGTTTTTGCAAAAATATTTTTTAAATTTTTGTGTTCAACTCCTTTCCATGCGCCCTTAGCAGTTTGCGCCTACTCTGCCTATACCTTGTTACGGCACTGTTAAACACCCTCTATCTCGAAACCGAATGGCCTTAGAAAATCTGTGAAAATCCTGTATGTAAAGAGAGGAAGACAACTTGTAATAATTTACATTTATACATATGTTTTCATGAGTTAGACGTTTTGCTCTTTTATGTTTATCTCTGCGGTTTTAGACGTTAAATTAATAATTTGAAGCGTGCTGTAAAGACTAACTGTCTAGGAGTTACGACGGAGCAGATCCGTTGACTGTTCCACATAAACGTATTGGTATTTAGTCTTCGGGTTCGCAATTAAATATTAATCATTTGCCGCGAAGGTAACTTCGCTTACACACACATCTCTTTGTGACTGTACTAGAAGTTGCTGCTCCTTTAAGTCTAGCCGAAGTGCCTTGCGGGCACAAAATACGGGGACTCTTGTGAAAGTTCCATGTTAATCCATTCGAAATTCAGTCAGTAACACTTGTTTAATAATAATTCACCATGTAGAGAATTCATAGAGAATAACAAGAGAATAGCATTAATCATCTTATTTTCCAAACAGTGGTGTTTTTCATAAAATTAAGAAGATAATGTCAATTTCCCAATTCCCACACTCACCACCCACTGGCTATTTTGCTGACGTGTAGTTAAGTTATAGTACAAATTTAGTGTCCTTTAAAGTAATAATTTCCTCACTTAAGTCACCTATTCGCGAAGAACGACAGTCTTTGCGCAGAAAAATTGCAGTCTTTTCTTCCAATCTCTTTGGTACTGGTACTCTTCTGGAACTACTTAGATCTAGTCAGTGAGCTACCAGTTCTTGTGTCCTTCTTGCCATATTGACATTTGAACTAAATTAGGTATAAATGGAAATTTTAATAAATCATTAAAGGCACATACTTCCTACGAAATTTGTATCGAGATCCTCTGTTGCCAGCATTGTTGGGCCTCTGGGCTCCTGCTTGCTTGTAAAGAGGCGAACTGGAATAGACCTTTTTAGTAGTGACGTCACATATGCCAAATAATAGGCAACCCCATAGTGCACATTGTCATGAAGTAACAAACTAAAAGAATTATAGAATTTATATATTTAAATTTATAGAATAATATTGACTTTTATAGTAATTATTAAATTAATATTATATCAATGGTAGTTACTGAGCATACGGATTAAAGATAATTTCATGTAAGCGAAGTAGCCTCGCAACAGGGTATAATTCAAGAAAAGTTTGGTTATGGTTAACAGTAGGCCTATAATAAA